ACACCAGGAAAGACATTTATTTCAATGAAATGAAAGCAGTTGTTACCTTTGTTTTAGAGTGTTAGCACACGGATATTTTCCAGATAAGCACCGCCACTAATGCAAAAAGTTCATGTGCGAAAAGTTAAGTCCCCCTCTCACTTTTGCAAGCTCCAATCCGGTGTACGCACACAATCTCGACCTAGTTTTATTAAAAATAATTCCTTATCCGCATCTAGGCCCATTTTGTGCAAAAATGAACTTTCTCACACTTTCAACTCTCGTTCATGACAACGAAGCGGCAATACGTTTTTTTGCAAAGCCATAAAGTGATTCATCAGCAACGTTAATGCCAACTTTTATGGCCCTTAAATGACGCACCCACTGTTTCTGACAGGTGGAGGTGTAATGCCCGACAGCGTCGGTATGAAATCGGTCTTCGAAAGGGAACTTGGCTGGAGCGGTCTAGGATGGAGTTTACGACAGTAATTCTATTCATTTATTGCTGGCCCAAAAATTTGGCAAAAATCAACTTTTGCTCAGTGGAATTATCTATTAGCCACATGACCGCTGCTGAGTGAGAGAACTTTCTCCGCGAAGTTTGCGCCTGACGGCTTTTACAGACTCCAACAGTTATCGGCGGCCCAGGTCTAATCTTTTTTGGGTGGCGGGGTTTGATTTTTTGGTGGGGCTTATCTGGAAAAGATCCGAAATGAGTTAGCCGACACCAAACTAACAGATTTGTCCATAGCGAAACAGAAGCAGACTCTGCGGCTGTCGACGGTTTCTACAAGCTCACTGGTTTTCCACGTTCGATGTCTGGACGTTTTGTTCTTTTTGCCTTTAAAACATAGCGAAACAGAAGCAGACTCTGCGGCTTTCTAAGGTTTCGACAAGCTCACTGGTCCATGCTCACCATGTTCGATGTCTGAACGTTTTGTTCTTTTTGCCTTTAAAGGTAAATTGCTATGTGCTTAGCAGTTCCCCTAATTCATCGTCGTATTAGGACCGGGAAACTTTTTCTTCTACAATTAGGCTAAGTTGTAACGAGACTGGATTGTGCTTGTTGTACATCGACTTGGTTCATAAGATCCGGATTAGCTGTCCCCATCGTTTTCTAATGTTCTTAATAAACCTGATCGAGTCAAAGGGCAACAAACCTTTGTGTCGAATAATTCTGAAGACCATGTGCGTTTTCTGACAGGTTTCAGAAACGTAGTTGTCGGCAAGGTGAACGGAAACCGCACTCGAGTTTACGGTGCGCTTACAAACCCCATTTGCTTTAACAAGAAGCATCGATGTGGTGTTACGATGGTAGTGAACATGCAGATTGACGGTTAAGGTTGGCGGAGAATCCAGTGACAGAAACTAGTAATCGTGTATGAATCCGGACTAACCGGAAATATAACACCTGCATGTCCGAGTTTTACCCTAGCTTTGTCAACTTTTGAACCAGCAACAACTTGCGCAGAAAAGTTTCACCTGTCATTTGTGACCGGACTTCAAAGGTATTTTGAAAAGAGCTGCGTAGTTGGAAGATTCTATCGCAGCCTGCAAAGTTCAGCGCGAAAAAATTGCAGAGTAGAGCCAAACAAGTTAAAACAGAAAGGTTTTACTCCCAGACTTACGTGGAGTTTTTCTTGAATGAGAATGGGAAGACTTTGAACCAGTTGGGTCAAAAAGTTTGAGGTTAGGGACTAGACGTGAGTGGGGATTGCGTTTCGTGAAGTGTTTTTTTGCTGTGCATCTTTTTGCAAAGTTTCCACAATGAGGTTGAGGGGACGACTGGACCAGTTCCGAAGAGTGATTTAGTTTCGAGGAATGTTTCCACCATTCAAGAGCTCTCAAAGCGTTTCTTATTTCGAATTACTGCTTGTTTGATCCAAAACGATACCAAAGTCGTAATAGATTACGAAAAGTTCGTTTTTTCACCAATCTACATATATACCAAAGCTTTTTAAAGATCATTAGCGATTTTCGTCAAGTTGGGTACTGATCAACGCTATTCTAACGAACAGGTGGTGATGGGTCTTCCATAGCGGTGAGGCATCAAAGCGATGGTTGGTTGTAACAGTAAGTGTACCACTGCGCAGGGCAGATATCCGTAGAAAACGAAATATCGGTGCTGTTTCCCCCAGTGTGATGGCATCGGCTGATCAACGGTGTGAATAAGTGTTCGAGAATCAGTACTGATCTGGAAATACTGGAACATCACTAGAGGAACACAGTAAATTGAGACCAATGCGTTGTTGAATTACATCTCTTCAACTGAACGTTATTCTGCACTTTTGCATCACGTGATCTTTGTTTCAAAGCCAGATCCCGTGGGAGCTGAACAAGTTGTGTGTGAGAGAAACACGTTCAGTCGGACAACGCTTCCATCCGACGGGGATGTAACTTCACACTTATCACTTTTTTCTGCAAACTGATGGTGGTGCCTCAAGAACCGGATGTTTTTTCATGTGTGAGAGTGATAGGAAATTTCTTAGGATTAGCCGAAACGCTAACGGTGTAGTGGTGCAATTTTACGGTAACCATAAGTGCGTCGCGTGTGACTGGTGTGTGTACGTTGTCCGAACTATGCTTTGTATCCCAACAAAAGTGTTAACAACCTGATAGGTAGCACTCGACTTTCACCGTAGATAAGCTCTTAAAACAGACGGTAACAACCAATCCACAGCAATTTCCCATTTAGAATACCCATAGGACCAACAAAAATCAGTCGATCGTGCTGGGTATTCTTTTTTATCCTGGTGCATCATCTCATTTCGAGTGATCGTGACTGAATTATTTTTATCCAAATTTTTACTCTAGTAATTGCTGTTAATCAACTTTGTCAGCAGTAAACGTACGCTTTATCTAAAGGTGAATTCGGTTTATATTGAACAGCCTAGGAGCCCCGTATATCTGTCTTGTCCTGTTTATAAATTCCAAGTAGAACACAACTCAGGACATTTTCAGTAGAAGAACGGGACGCCCGTTACTTTCGGAATGACCTTTCTAAAGGTTTCAGCCTCAAATTGAAGTCCCCAAAAAGTTCGCACTCATCGACCTTCATTGAATTAATTTAGATAAATCTTATACCTGTTTGGTCTTCCTACTTCACACTGCTGACGAATTTTCTTTTCAACTTTAGGCCTATTGCTTTTCTGAGTCCATCTGATTTTGGATTATTCCAGCTATTCTTCATTTGCACTGTTCCTTTAATTATTTATTACGACCATTTTTTCACAGAAGACTAAAACGTCTGGCTAAGTTTTTTTGGATGTTGGGCTCACTCCGCGGTCGCTGTCGAGTAAAGGGCATTGCACTTCCATAGTCTGTCGTAGTGACTAATCATCTAAGTAAGTGTGAGTACTACCGTAGTAGAGAGGGGTTCGCAACCGTTTTCTGTTCTTGTATCCTCCAAAGTCAGAATAAAAAAATAAAAAATCATTGTATAGATTGATTCCAGCAATTTGTTGAACCACGTCGAGTTATGCGCAAAACCCCAAAAGCCAAATCTCTCAAATGGAGGTGTATCTACAAATACGGTACTATAAGTACAATAATAAAATGATAAAGCTTTACTAACTTCAAGTCGTGGGACAATGCCGGTTTCTTTACGTCGGTTTAGGAACTGCTAACTCCTAACGGGTCTCAAAGTCCACGCCGACTCAAAGCCACGTGTTTACAAGCTAGCGAAATCACGTGTGAACTTAAACAATACGTCCGATGACAAGGTCAAACCAAAAAAACAAAAAAGAGGGAATCGCGTTGTACAATATAAAAACAGAAGAAAGGAATCAACACATTGAAGGTTTCAGTAGTTCATTCGTCATAACTGCACCTTATCTCACCTACCAAACCTTTAGCACATTGGTGCAGTCTGAGCGCGTAGTTTAAGCACCATCTTAGTCGAAGTCATTGCCGTTTTGTACTGTCTTTTGTGCTGTGAGCTTCTGGGATCTCGTGGGAGTTGACTAACATGTGGCGTAAGGAAAAGATGTGTGGGGATAAATTAGAATAAATTCGAACTGAACAATTATCGGGCAGTTGCCCAAGAGCAGTTAGCCTACGAGCAAAAAAAATACTCGAAAAGCAAGAACAACACACTACCGGATAGATCCTAATTCCCCCAAACGTTTCAGAAGTCAAGATCTGCAATCATCAAGAAATAAGCGAGAACTTTTGGCCTACGCGAAGAATATCTATCCGATTTCACCGACCGGGCTATCGACGCTTCAGTAAGCGTATGCAACAAGCGAGTTCTCACGGATTTCACTGCGGTCCTGATTCCAGAAGCCCATGTAAAACTAACAGATTTTGTTGTTGTACTAAACCTTTGTCAGATCGACCAGCTTCTTGCAACACTTCTATTTAAGAAAGGTTTCAAAAACAGCCACAATGGCAAACGTTGCCAAAAATTTTTTGTGCTAAAATGAGGATTCTTTTGCAACATTTGCGCCCAAATTTCATAGAGATCTCGTTAGCCTGTTAGCCCTCAATGAAATACTTTCTGACGTCATTCCTGTCTGGACGATCCTCTTAGTCAATTTGAAAAAAAGACATTTTCCGATCCAGGGAAAACAGAGCTGCAAATTTTTACGCAGCGCCTGCTTTGAATGACAAATAAACCGTATGTAAAAATTTGGTTATTCTTAGCGTAAAGTCATTTGGATAATAGCCATCCATTGCCGCTCCTCCATCAGTTGTCTATAGTTGTCTATAGTTCCATTTATTGCACTTTGAATGCTATCAACTTCTTATCCGCTCCATTGGGCCAGCCACATGGTGGAAGATCAATAACCATCCGTAATTCAGTTGCAAATCAAACTGAGTAGCAAGCGAACCTATCGCAGTTATTTGGCCTTCTAAATAAGAACACTTACAGTCTCTTTCATAAAGGAAACTACTCACAAGGTTGCTTAAAACTCTTCGACAGCCCACCACGGTTTCACCCTTCTTGGGGCTCATCAGGTAGGCGCGGTCCCCGAGTTTCCGTTAACCTTATGTTCCATTCGAACCCTAACTGGACTGTTTTCGAGAGTTGAGTCTCTCGTGAAAACCAAATTGATTTGCAACTGAGTGTATTTCTCGAAAACATCTACACTGGCACACATAATGGGCCATCATAATAGTTAGGAAACACGGGGTTACCTAGTATTGACCAAGTTCACGGATGGTTAAACCAGAGCGTTTTAATCGGACTTTCTGCTCTGTTCCTGCTCACAGTTTGAGAACCATTCCAACTTGACAGTTAAAGAACTTTACCGTTTACCACGCTCTTGTAGAATTTTCATCGGCCTGAGTTATGATGAGCCTGGATTCAATGATCCGCCTTCAACCCTGCCTATTATTTCCTCCCTCCTGTCAAAATAAAAAAAATATGAAAGGATTGTCGATTTTAATTCTTAAATACATCGTTTTGTCAACTTTTCCTCCGCTTGCTGTTGTGCTGGATGATTCAAAATCCCAGTGATTTGCTTTTTAACTTTCAACCCTTTACAGTCAGAATTACCCATCTATTCAAATGAAGCTAAGCCCGAACTCTGACAAGTGTTCAAAAAATTTGAATGAGCAGGTGAGGTGATTTGTCCAGGTCCATATGCGGCAGCAACATACTGATGTAACGACGGTTGCTACTCATGACCCATGCGAGTAGTATATGGTTAGTGGCCAAGTTCCACCCCATATCAGATGGAAGGTGAAGCTTACTACGGAAATTGTGGAACTGCTTTGCAGTGTTCGTTCACTATTGTGTAACAGTCAATCACTATTCAAGAAAGTTCGAGAAAACACTTGACTATGTTCGTTTCTTAAAGATTATGAGATGTTTACTTTCCTGTCTAATGGCTCGTAACTGCTTAGTTCGTGTTCGCTAATAGGCGAATTCGCGGCAAAGTATTTTCTTTTTTGCACTAATAATACGAGGTGGTCTGTGTAGATGCCTTAGTGGAAACATCTTGGCTGTGTTGCCACAATACTGTTTTGTGTTCCCGGGAGGGCATATATAAGCTAAATACAATCATTTGCAAACAAACTTGGTTTTGCGGGAGACCCACCTGTTTTCTCGCCAACCTTATGAGTAGTGAATTATGAATACACATGTACCACGATATCTCGGATATCGTACCAGCTGAAGCTTGAGGCGGCCTGGTGCAGCACATTCAATTGCTCGGAAACATCATAAACGAGTTATTCAGCTGGGTTCCAGGTGAGTCTCCCGAAAAGCCGAATTTGTTTGCTATGAGTGTAGTTCGTTAGTTTCGTGAAATTCTGGTTCATGTAGAACATAAGGTTGACGGAAACTCGAGAAATGCGCCTACCCGATGATCCTTAGAAAGGGCGAAGCCGGTCGTGGGCTGTCGAGGAATTTTAGGCAATTTTGTGAGTAGTGCATCACGTCTATGGAAATATAAGCTGTCCTTCGTCTGGTGCACAGAAAGGATAATTATGAAAGGCCGTCACGAAGCCTTGTTATACCAGTCTGGAGGTAGCAGTAAATGCAGAAATATTTTTCGTCAATTTATGAGCCCTAAAAAGCAATTTGTTCACACTAACAGTTGGCCGGTCTTGCTTTCCTGGGGGTGAGCTTTAGTTTTTCTTTAGTTTTCTTTAGTTTTCTTTAGTTGACATTTCCCGATTCCGAACGAATCTTCCACTTTCTGCATCAGTCAAATGAGATTTATGTGGTTGAACGTATTTTATTCTGCCAAATCCCATCGTTTTGAAAAAGTCGAGGTCGATATAATTTATTGTCCGAAGCAATGAAAACTTTCTGGAGAGACTACTGACGGTCGCCCAGAAGGTTGGATAATTAAGCGAGCGCCATATCTGAAGGGTTTGAAAAAACTAAATTAAGTTGAATTAAACTGAATTGGTGAGGTCATATTAGGTAAGATTCTGCCATTATGTAGATTTATCGTAGCTGCATGCCTGAAGATCAATATGCCTTGATGGTTGCTACCAGGAGTCAGTTTAAAACAGATCTAAATACATCCAACAAAAATATAGAGGTTTTAGGCCGCTCTGCTATGGACTGTTTTTTTTCTGTGCAACGTCGTATAATTGGGAGGAGTGGAGTGGCACCACCAATCGAAGAATGTGGCATTTAATGAATTGTGATGAGCATATTCATCCACCTGTGCACTCTCCTTATGCTTTTCACGTTATTCTGCATCCAGAGTTGAACTTCAAAAAAAAGCTCATTTCACACATTTGTCAACCGTACCTAATTATCATCACCTCTTCGGGTGGTATCCGTTCCTTTGGGCCGATGAAATAAATGTGGCTTGCAACCTGTGGATAGCTAATAAAATACTCCCTCAGGATTTAAGAAGGTGAAATTTGGGAACGGACTGTTTTAAGAATAGTCCATTGAACTGAAAGCTCAGCCCCCAAAAGGCAGTTCTGAATACTCAGCTTGCTGTCAAATGGTTTGCATATTGTTACTTCGCTAGAGTGGATTCTGCACACAAGAAGACAATTTTTGTTGGTCTGATTAGCGTTCTCTTCATAACAGAAATACCGAACATCACACCGGGATGGTGAAATATCACGTGTGTCTGAGATGCAGCTGTTCACCCCGGGACAAAGTACACTTTCCGCATCATTACGACAGGCGTGATGTGATGGAAAGTTTCGAAACCCTCTGAAATCATACTGAAACGACGTCAACAACTTTTTGGTAACTATTCAGACTCTTTTGTAGCGGAACTTTTTAACTTTTTAATTCAGTTTCTGCCCCTGTTGAAGGAGTTTTTCAATTACAAACGCTCCATCGTGACAGGAGCCTTTACGCATTCTGTACAACTGGAATTTGACCTGATAAAGGCAGGGACAGTCAACTTCACATGCATTCTGGGGCCACATTCAATTAGTTCTCTTGCTGCTGGAACCGTGGAACCGTGAATTTCCTTTCATTTATGAATGAGTGATAATCACTTTCAGAGATGCTCCTCTCTTTTGCCAGTATAGCTCTTCTTATGCAAATTTACTTGAAGGTTTTTACTTTTAGATATGCTGCGCTCAGTCCAGAGCCTTTGTCATGCCATTCTATCTCTGTTTTTCTTCGCGATCTCACTTCATGTGCGATATAGTTTGTATTTCTCACACTTCCTGTTTCTTTGTCTCAACAGAGAACTGTGAATTGGAGTGTACTCAATGGGAAAGCTTGGATAAAGAATGAAAGAAATGTCAAATGATTTTGCTAGATACAGAGAGTTGAAACAAGCTAAAAAATGCGACGACATGATTTAGTGTGTCGAAGGCGCAGCGACGGGAATAACAGTCAGAACGAAGTTATCATTCCGAAAAACTCGTTATTTGTGGTGTTAATTTTCGTTATCACACTGATAATTGTGATAACTTAAATAACTTGCATCTTTTGCACATATTCGGTATAAATTGGGGCTCTTAGCTTAATTTTATCATAATGTGTCGTGTAATTTTGCTTGTTGTCGCCTTCTGAGCTAAATTTCAGAAATTCAAGACCTTATTTAGTTACTGCCAGCGAAAGATTATCTGACTGATTTGCATTCTTTATTTACTGGGAACTGCATTTTATTCTGTTCCACTCCAGACACGTACCTTCTGATTGTTTCCTCAACAGCATGAAGTCATTCAACTTGGGTTGGTCATTTTTACCGAACGCTTTCCGCATCTGTTTATGTGCCGTGAACTTTCTGTCGTCACTTCCAATATTCGAACGTTCTTATACGGCCTCGGCTGAACATACTACTCATGAGTTTCTTAAGAATGCTCGGCAATCCTTGAACAGATTCGTTCTTCTTGAGCTGTTCAGGATGTCACACCCCCGGGTTCTATTTGAGCATAAATTGTACAAACTTTGGGAAATTCACCTTTTTCAAATAAGTTTGTTACAACCGGGGATTCAACGGAATCCCAGCTGAAGCATTTTGCATGATAATTCCTAACTGATGGGCTGCAAGAAGAGTGAGGTCAGAATTAGTGGGAAACCATATGAATGACGCGTTCCATCTGCGCGGTGTACTGCGAATACCGTCCTAAGGGAGACGTGAAATGGCCTTTGTGCAGCACGTTTACTTGAACAATGTCATAAACTAGGACTTCGGGAGGTATTCAGTAAATTCATCTGTTAAGACCTCATTGGTTCGTAAATTAGTTTAGATCGCGAATCCAGATCAATTTGGTTTCACAATATTGGCGGAAACCTGGGACTGTGCCTACTTAATGAGCTCCAAGAGGCACAAAACCGGTCATGGGTTGTCGAAGAGTTTTTTTAAGAAACTTTAGGAGGAATGTAATACGTCTCTAAGAAAGAACAGTTTTCATTTGCGTGTCAGCTGTTTAATCATGAATGAATAGGGATTGCGCGGAACACAAACACTATTCGCTCTGATCAGTAGGCTTTGGATGCATTACGAACTCACTTGCCCCGAAACGCTAGGTCTTACATGTTATATCCCTGTAAAATGGATGACAATATGTATAGAGGAATCCTATAATGAAAGAAGTATAATAATGTCTCCAATCTGTTGAAATATCACGGGGAAGAAAGCACCTCATGTAAAAGTGTAAAAAATTCAGAAAAATAATGTGTAACTCTTTTCAGCTGAGATATGGTGACGTTTTATCCTACATTCACAGCATTCTGAGTAGGCTGTGAGGTTCATTTTTCTGTTTTGCTCAATTTCCCTTGCTGTAAAAAACAGTGTACGTTTTCTGTGTCATATCCATGTGATGCTGTGGTACTTCAGAAATGTCAACTATTTTGAACGAAATAGCATTGCAAACGATCACTTTGAATCTCGTTCGTTGTGGCGCCAGTATGACAATGTAGTTTGACTGTTTTCACTAGTTACTTGGCCGTTTTTTTCAAATAGAGAAAAATCTTCGATAAAGTTATTCTCAAGCACACCGTTGATACTTTTCTTTCACGGGTTGTCCTTTTTTGCATTTGAAATCAATTGTTAGTTTTGCAGATACAAAACAGTGATCAACGTACTCTTTTCTTGTTTATATGGTTTTATGGTTATGTGATAAGTTGGTGTACTTTATCTGTGACACCACTGTAACAGTAAGTGCACCTAGGATTATAGAATATTACGACAAATTTATGGGACCACCCAAGATTTCCGACCTGTTTCCGTTACCTAGTGACTAAGTGGTACTTAGAAATTCGGTACTACCAGAAAGTAGATTCGAAATTTTTCAGGATGTACGTTGAAGTAATTAATAGAAAGACAAGTAAAGAATGGAGGAGAGTCATCACGAAATAATCACGTACAGCTGCAATGATAGTCAAAACTTTGCCTTATATAACTTGACCTGTCAGCATATCTGTGGTAATTCTAAGGCCACGCAGAAGTCTTTCTTGACCCAATAGCGCTGGCTTTGATATGGTGGTCGATAATGCCTTTAGAAATTTCACTATCTCTGCTAATTGCACCTAGAATGATGAATGAATGTCCTCTTTATTCACGCAAGTGCTTGGTTATCGTTAAGCTGAACTTTTCTACAATTGACATCGACTAAGTGTTCTTACCACCAACAGATTTGAGCTAGCGTTGTTGTTTTCTGCGGATAACATGATGTGAGACCTACGTAATAATTCACTAACTCCTTGGCTCATTATTTTGCCCACTCCACTGTTTATACGACGTTCGGCAGTCTACGAAGTTAAGTCTTCCTGAAACTGTGTTGTTTTCAATGCGTTGTTGAAATCTCTTCCAGGTTCACTAGTTCTATGCACACTGAATCATTTCTAAGCGGCTTTCAAGTTTGCGATAGGTCAAAACATGACTGTCCATAGTTAGGCTTCTTCCTTGCAGCTGGGTTAGAGCAGTGCACTGCGTCTGCTGGTCATAAAGTCACCAAATGCTCCCATCTGTGATCTGAACAACTCTTACCTTAGTCTCATTCGTCTGTTGGAAGAACAGCTGGCAGTACTAAGCACGCCTTTGGTTCGTACTTATAGATATTGAGACAATGATCATCAGGACTAGCTGCCATCGGTTAAGCTATTGTTAGTCGATGAACGCGGCAGAGTGGTTTGTCCCGCCCGCACCGTAGCATTAAGATACTACCCTATCTGACTTCCCTTCTTGACGTCTACTCAATTGGTAATACAGCAAACACTATGGCACACTAAATGTACATGGTTTGTCCTCAAATCTGGGCTGGTGTTCATTTCTGAGCATTGTTCCGAACACTCAGCACTAGTTAAACAAGACAACGAGAGATTTTGAGGACGGAGAACGGGAACACTTAGATACATTCTCTAGTTTGAATGACACTCTAGGTATATTCACGAGTTCTTGGAACTCACCCTCCACTTTTGGGGGATTTTGCGTCAACTCCTCTGACACATACTAGTCTACATTGTGTTCCGATTTTCTTGGTCACCTGCTGATAAAAATCATTCTCTTTCATCCAAAATCGTTCAGTTGTAGCACCCCTTCGGTGCCTAGCTGCCATGCCACACGAAGTAGGCACGGGGGCTGGGATACTGCCGGGTCGCCGAAGCCTAGACAGAGGAAGTCGAGAGGCAGAGGTCGGGTTCGAGCCACGGACCTTCCGGTCAGTAAGTGCGCGCTCCAACCACTTGGTCCAACTCGTCACCCTTTCATTCAGTGCTAGTGGATGAAGCCTGAGAAAATGAGTGACCCTATGATTTTGTCGTGGTGTGCCAGCCTCCCCCCTAACGACACCCGTTTCTTACCATTGTTTCACGTTATCAGGAAGCAGTGGACCGTTTGGAGGACGAATGTGCGGGAACCTTGGGTGCACGCATATCAGACTGAATCGGTCATCCTAAATCTCAGGGCAGCAGAGATATGGAAGGTACACTTCAGTTCTCATTCATCTGGTCAGGCTACTGAACTCCAAGTTTATCAATCTTCTTGTTTGCCTTTGAGTTTATGGTTTCCAGAACCTGAGGTTAATTTAGCCCGTTGAAGGTGTGAGGCGTCGTTACGCGCCTGAAAACCAGTAAAATGTATTAACTTTAATTGTTTACTATAGATTGCAATATTCAAGAAGAGACAAAATACTCTTAGGTCACATTTTTGCATCGTTTTCCATGGGCAGTATTTACGCGCTTGCCGGGAACTGGCAAGCACCATCAGAAGTTCAAAGTCTTGATCAAAATTTGACGGGAACGAAAGAAATATCAAGAGATGGAATACATCTAAATCTGATTGGGAGGCATCATCGTGGCTCAACAGATAACCAGTCGAAGATTTTATACTTACGTGAAGACACTTCACATTCTGTGAGATTAATAGCAGTTAACCTGTCACAGCTGTGGCTGGTAGGTTGTCGTATAAGCTGCTTGGTACTTTAAGATGTTGTTGGACAGTTCCAATTTGTGACTTGACACACCAGGGCCCAATAAAATGAGGCGTTGACGATAAATGAAATTGAAGTTATCCCATGAAAAACTTACCGGATGCTGAGCATTGGGTTGTTGGATGCCTGCTGTGCACGTGAAATGCAGAACAGGGATCGTAATGTCACATGGAATCTCGATCAATCTGCAACAGTTAATCATCTTCACAACGGAGACTACTCACAAGGTTGCTGAATACCTGTTGACAACGCACTACCGGTTTTGCTCTAGTTGGCGCTCATGAGGATGGCGAATTTTCAAAGTTTCCGTCCATACCACGCTCTACTTGAATCCAAATTGGACAGAATTCGACCAGTACTCTCATTTGCACTTGAAGTTAGTTTTTACGGGAGACTCAGTTGCATCCGCCTTTATCTTCCGTTTACGATGGTCCACTTTATTTGAATGTGCTGCACCAGGCCGCCTAATGCTTCTGTTGGTAGGACATTCTAGATATCGTAATACACTGTCTAGACCTGGTAAACAACTCAAAAGGTTGCTGAAAACTCTCTGATGGCCTACTACCGGCTTTGACCCTTTTGGAACTCAACAGACAAGCACACTTTCCGAGTTTTCATTAGTCTAATATTCCACTTGATCACCTGAATGCGCGCATTGAAGAAATACGTTATTTTGCGAACTACATTAGTACTAACAAGAAGAATATCATAGACGAGAAATTCAGTTGAGTTTCATTGAACATCAACCTAGACGGCAAAATGAGTGTATCTAAGAAGAACACAGGATTGACGGGAACCTAGATTGGTCCCAAAAAGGCAAAACCCGTCGTGAGCGGCATCTTGATGAGTAGTATGTTAAGGCCAGACAATGTAGTGCGGTATCTTAATTGTGAGGCAGTCTTGGGCAGTACGTTCATTCGAAGATGACCAACACGCTCACAATCTTTGAGAAACTAGCCATGCCTGGTCATATCTGATTAGAGTGTGAGCAATTAGTTATCAGTCACCTCTGAAAAAACCATCGATATCCTAAAAACATTTTATAGTCCAGATTGGAACTCGTCATGACCTTTAACTTTTTATCCTATAGGGAGGTAAGTTACAAGGCTTTTATACACTTATTGGTCAGCATTTATGCAGACTGGGCTTTACTTTAAATGCAACCCGAGGAATTGGTCATCCTGAGCCGCCTTGTCTATTAGTTATCGTTTTGTTGTATGATCGGTGAGTGAGCCGAAATCCTCAAAAAGCTTTGAATATATAAAGCACACACCGTGTCACTATTTCACGTGCACTTGAGGCGTAACTTCTTGTTCACACCCCGCTTATTGGTTCGAACCAGTGGCTAAGGCCAGCAATAGTTGCATAGACCAAAATGGTTCACATTCTGTTTATTATTTTATTTAGCCAGTAGTTTGTGGACACTGTAAAAACTTTTTGTGAAGAATTATATCCAAAATTTGTCAGTAACCATTTTGTGTAATAAACATTCGAGTGCAGCCCTAATGGTAAAACCATAAATTGCGTGTTTTTTTCATTCAGGCGCTCCAGAACTTCTCAGAGCCATACATCTTGCGGAACAAGCTTATGTGGAACCCTTCCCTGGTCACTGCCGTACCAGATTGGATGAGTTTGGTCAAGCACGACCGCTGGATGAACCGACACACGCCTATTCCATTGCTCGGGGGATCAGTCTGTACATTGAGGGGAGCCGTCTGACCCCAAGTAAGCCTCTGTGTGTGTATCCGTCTGCAACCTAAAACAAAAAGTTAGGAGAGAGAACGCGCTTAGTCTTGAAGACCGCAGTTATTTACGGTTCCCTGTTTGACATGGTTTCATCACAAACACCGATCAGTTGATGTCCACTCTCGAAACTGACACCTCAAAACAACACTAAGACGTCACTGGATTTCGAGTCACTTAAGTACTAACCGGAAAGTTCTTGACCGACAGACGTTTACAGATTTGTGCGCTAGACTTGTCTTTTGCCTCCTTAGTATTTAGTTCCCATGATGCGAACTGTGTGCAGAATCGAGTACCGCCGAACTAAGACATCGCGTTCCCAGTTTGAAACACGCAGCGTTTGCTCAGTAGCAAGCTTTAACAAACCCATAGGAAAGACCATCAGTCTGTTACTTGGCTTTTGTGGCCTGACTTTATAAGTATGTCTCTAAAATACTGACCAGACGTCTTTTCATTCAGTGACCGGAATGGATTACAATCTCATTTCAGGTCCTCATCGCAATATGGTTGGTTATTCATACTCACGTACTTGGAATTTGGAACCAAAGAAATGTTTTTTTGAACCTTTGTGGAAGTAAACACAAAAACCGTAGAAATTGGATGAATGTTATGGTAACTAAAGTAAACGAGGAAGTGCATCGGTAAGGTTAGCTGATTGATTTCAAACGCACCTAAGTTGAGCGATTTCCTCCTAGCACAAATTTGCATAGAGAATGTCATAATGTGTTTACCCATAAGAATTCATGTCCAACCACCTATCGGAATTCCAACCAAAGTCGGATAATCTGTTAAACCAAACGCGTTGTGTGATGTGCTTCCATCGAGTGCTTCAGTTTGGTTCACCTGTTCTTCACAGATTTGTTGTACAGTTTAAAGAATTTATGTCTGTTACTACACCCACCGTCGGGTCGTCCTAAGCTTCTCCGGGGTCCCGTCTTTTTGTTCATTTTTGTAGCAAAATTGTGGCCGAAATAGTGATTGTTTCACCTCCATTTATAACAGTGACTTTTAAAAACAGTTATGATAAGAAAATAACGCCCAATTCTTTTTCCAGATCTCCCGCTGTCAGAATTATCGGTGCTATTCACTGCCAGAGTTGACCCGGGGTTTGCCGGCGAACTCTTTACTCTGTATGATCGCCATGGCCATATTCAGCTCAGTTTGACTTTTGGACGAAAGTTAACTATACAATACCTCGTGCGCCCCACTGCTCTGCCTCATCCACGAATCTCTCAGGTTGACAGAAACCAACAAACAGAAACTATAGGGTTCCAAACAAGACTTGACGACGGTCTGTAAGTGCAAAACTTTCAGTTAATTACTCCACATGAAGATTATCCTAACCATTTTTCATTCTCCACAGGAGACTAAATTCGGTGACACACACAAACTCCCGTTTGTTTCGAATATGTAAGGGACTCATTTCATTTGTTGCGTTATAAATTGATCCAAACTGCAAATGATGTGCACCGTAACGGTGAAGTTCACTTGAGGTTTTGGAGAATGTTCACTTTATTTCGCACTAATTCTGAATAGGCAAAGTTCTCTACGGAATTCGTCCAACATTATAAAAAACGGTAGTATACTAGAGAGTGAACCTCGAAACGTTGGGCGTTTCATTATGCTCGGGTACTAGGGGATCCGTCGGTTACTACCATGACTACTCCATGTGCTCACCGAGCATATGAACAATCGAAAGGGTTCAACAAGTACATTCATCTATACATCAGTTTGGTTTTTACTGGTGACTCAACCGAATCTCTCGTTTGTGCTATTCTTCAACTGAATACGCTGCCACCTGATCTACAAGCAACAAACTGCTATTGTGTTTCACTCGAGGCGCTCCACTCTGACTCAGGTTTTGTTTTCACATCTGATTGGCTGCACACAGTTCCATTTCAGTGATCCTCGATCCAGTTCGCCCCTTTCCCTTTTCGAGTTATGTTGCAAGGTGTCCCCGAATCCAAGTTTTTTTTGCAATACAAAACGAACATTTTTCAATCGTACAGAATCTACTCATAATTAGTTTGCTTTTGGCCTTGGTAGAGGACACCTTATTGAGGACAAACCAATGTTAACGCGTGTGAAAAATAAATCAACTGTGTAACACATTCAATTCAAGAATATCGTAAACGAGAGATTCAGTCGAATCTCTCGTGAAAACCCAGTTGATATGAAAATGAGTGTGGTTACCGAAACTAGGAGACTGTGTCTACCTGATGAGCCCCAAGAAGAGTGAAAACGGTCGTCAGGTGTCCAAGGGTTTACAATAACCTTGTAGGGAGTTCAACAATGTTCTAAAGAGTGATGAAAAATCCAATGATTAAATCTAGTTTTTATGTTCTTATTCCCTGGCGTTCAGTGTTTTCGTTCGAGAAGGGACGGTGACCCAATCACAAATTTATTGTAGACTACCATGTGTGCTATATTGTGCTGAGACCAACCCCCGTTCTGTTTGATCCAAAAACAACTATTTAATTTAACTTTCCAGTCAGTCGGTACTTAGGAGAAAGTCATGGTACCACAAATGGGGCAGACTGATTTGTGTCGAATAGAAAAAAGAAAATTGGCAGGGGTAGTAGACTGGATTTGTGCTGCTTCTTGACGTAGAGATTCTGTCAGGAAGGTCAGATTATTGGAATACACTCCTCAAAACTCCACAGCCTTGGATCAGGGTCAAACAGTGTCCTTCAAAATATAGCGCTGGGCCACTGTACTTCCGCACTTGCCTGTTTGCAATAAAGCTGTCGTGTACTTTGTCAGCGAGTGTTCTTCCAGCACTAAGGCACTGGGGCGTGGACAGCAGTCAGCCATAAGAGAATCCGATCGGTTGTAACAAGAACAACGAAGCATCGATGCTTAAACGTCCGATCGAGCACATCGGACTAATGATCCGGGGGTTATTTTTTGATCATGCATAAGGATTTTGGTGTTTCGCGACATCTTCGGGCTGGCCTGAGAGAAAACTTTGAATGCCACAGCAGGGTTTCCCTTATGATGTTCTTTTCTGGCAGACGGGAGAGGAATATTTTCCCCACCTCTTTTCACTAATCGTGGGGGGAATTTGCGTGAATGTTCTGTCAGATAAATCGCTGTATGATGTTCTTTTCTGGCAGACGGGAGAGAACTATTTTTCCCACCTCTTTTCACTAATCGTAGGGGGAATTTGCGCGAATGTTCTGTCAGATAAATCGCTGTCTTTTCGATTGAGCGACACCTCCCAAACCAGATAAATTTGTAGGTATGTAGCCGGGCGGTGTTTTTGAGCTTTCAATCGTTGCCTTCAGACGGGACATCTGGTAACGTCCAACTGCAGGTCAGACGGGCGTTTGGACATCCTGAATACATTTTATTTGCTGCATATATCAAAGGCCATAAACGTGTGAACAGGAGAGTCCCGAAAAAGATGGTATCTTAGCTGAGTTAAACAACTTGTTATTGTGTACTTTGTTCTGGGACAAAGTACACAGGTCGTCTTTGTCGTTTGTTGGTGAGCCAGTTGTTCACAGCTTAATCGTTCTACTATTAATTAAAAAAAGCAGCACTAATATCGTGTCCACTCCAGCTTGACGGGAAGCTTCCTCTGAGACAATGTGGGTCTGTGTTACCGTCCTCTAGGGAGAGAGTACTATCAAGATAAACCATCTTTCAGTACCAACCGGATGACTATATTTTGTGGCATATTTCACTCAAAATCGCCCTCAGCTATGTCAGTCACTCGAAAAGAAGAGAGGTCTTCTTTGAGGCTACGCCTTGAGAAGGACGCTAATAAGGCATCAAAAACCGATCGGATATGTTGTGTGCTTGGATGACTTCGTTTGTCTTTATGCAGAGGCAACGCACAAACGTCGGAGAGTTCCTGTAGCATCCCATTTCTGGTATTTTTATGCAGGTTTAGTCATTCACTTGTATCTTGATAGAGAATGCGAAGCTTTTTCATTCTGACCTGATGAGCTTGTCGTTTGAGTACTGTGGTTTGGTTACCAAGACCGATTATTTTGGTTTATACCCATTTGTTGGAACTAATTTCTTCGTCTTCTTGAGATCTAGCACATGGAAGTTCCTCAACCGTTAACGGTTGAGAACAACTTAGCATCTGTACATATTAAACCAAAAGTACTTGGTTAAAATTTGATTTGAGCCACTACTTTTCGAGTGTTTTGAAGGGGGCATTTGCCTGTTGCCAGACGGTCTCTCGAATGAGATACACAATCAACAACAATGTTTCTGTAAACACTATTCAGGTGGCATCGAGTTGCAATCAGTATGCAGAAAGCTGAAGTCCGATTGTTTGTGGATTGTCGCCAAAGGGAGTCAGTTGCATACAACAGGACAACCATAACGGTGGATTCCCGTGGTCGGATGCGAGTTTTGAAGGATGGAATTCAAGTATGTTTTTACACATCTACTAACCATTAAATATTTGCTCTGCAACTCAATTTACCGATGACAACGGTACAACAGTTGTTCAACAGTTAGTCTGGTTTGTGTTCGGTATGCTGTAGTTGCTAACTTTAGCCCTGACGGACAATAGCAGTGGCATGGGGGTGGTGCATTTTGTGGACAGTCTTAGTTACGTGGCACACGTTGCTACCAGTTAACAACATCACAACGCCAAAATCCAAAACGATGAGTGCATTTGTGGGACATTGGAAAACCATGTCCACATTAGAAATCTTTGAACGATCCATCTTATCTATCGGCTAGTTTGTTCCGTTTCAAGAGAGGCGAATACCAAAGTGTTCTTTAAGTTATACTTTAACCCACGATATGTGATGATGATGAGCGAACCGAAGGTTCATTGATCCCACCGTTTGCTCTGATCACAACACAATGCTACATGAGTGATAGCTAGCGAAAACATTGAAAGTGTTGTGAACAAACGCGAACTCGCTTTACCTTTGCCGTCTTTAATCATTCCTGTGAGAGAGTAATTCACCATTCGAGAAAAAGTACTCCACCATTCGGAGAACTTAGGCAACCTTAACTGATGGCTCCTGACAGATCAACCTCTTTGAGTGAGAACAAGGATAAATCGACTATTCTAGTCTACTTACTATTAAACGAACTAAAAAACTCACCCCCAATTGCTACCTACGGGTCACGACTGACAGTTGTTCACGTGATGCATTTAGTGTGATTCAACAGTCTCCTGGTAGGAACTAAGAGCTTGGCCGAGCCATAAAATCTAAGTCTGGGTGCCACCTACGACAATGCCTGGTAGTTTCGCAGGGCGTTCTGGTCGAAGTTTCACGATAAACCAATGGAATAAGTGAACTTTCTTCGCCGTCCACTCAGGGCGTGACTTTATGGGTTCGCCATGTGACAACTTCATTTGAAGAAAACACGTGAATACATTTAGAGGGAAGGTGGATAGGTAGTTACAGGTCAGTGCCAAGGTATACAGATGTCCCGAGTCAATAACTTTTGCGCACATAGAACCGACTATCTCGGTTTAATCAGCACTGTCTCGCTGGAGGCTAGCATTCAGGGTGTTCAGTTGCTCATGAGAAAAGTTGAGAATTGTCTGAGGTTAACGGAATAACCTGTGACCAGCAGACGCTTGCAGCTGACAATACTGGGTTTCAAGTGGGAGGATGACCACCAGCCCGGCACTGTCTCAGAACGGACTTGATATTTTAGAATTTGTCGGGCAGTTTTTTTTGAGAGAGTGGTCTGTTCTACTGATGTAAGTGTCACGGCAATTTCTAGTGAACTGCTAATAACATGGACTGCAGAGAGATCAGTCCTTGAAGTTCGCCAGTTTGGAGTTGCACAGCCAAGACTAACTGGCTTAGTATCGGTTGAACACCCAGCAAAGTGCACACTTGATACTCCTTGATTGAAGTTTGTAGGTGACTCAGTATGAAGTTAGGGTGTCCTGGATGTTGGCCAACAGACATCATCTCCGAAGCGTTGCAAGCCCTTCAAAGTTTCTTCCTATCAATGGAAGTGATAGTGAGATGAGTTGGATTTGTGGTTGGTCACTTGGCAGACTGGTTCACCGATAGATCATTGGTTCACTGTTATCAACAAAGTCCCTCTCAGCTTTCAACTCATTTCTAACCCGATTTCGCCACCTAGTATATCCTTACCATGCATAGACGGCCAATTAGTGTTTTGCGCCCAAACACTGAATAAACAAGACTCAGCTCACAGTCATTTTGACCACATTCAGGGACTCCACTTGAGTATACTCCAATCAAACGTACATGGCACATGTACTGCTGTTTGTCAGATGCAAAACGAGCATTTTCCTGTCAGTGGTAGATTGTCTTCGCTGTCATACGGATGAGTACCACTGCCTTAGCCTACTGAATGCTAAATAGGTTCTGATGTGGGTTGCGGAAACCCTCTTCTGTCTCACTGGCTACATCTTATCTATTTGAGATGAACTTAAGTGTACTGTACTTTATCGAATTTTACTGCATCGTATTTGACTGAGTTTGTTTTTCACTTGTTTTATGTAAATACTTGCAAACGACCTGTCCTAACCTGCTAAACTCTATGGGGTGTTAAGCCGGATGGATGATGCTTAACACTAGCTATTGATTCGCGTGACTTGGGTGCGTTCTCGGAGCAGTGTGGTCCACCAGACTATCTTTCGCACACACATCCGGTCTCATGTTTCTAGCTGTCCTCATTTGAGTGGACAATGAAAAAGTCCCAAAGAGGCCGATGGCTTTAGTTCCTGCTCATTATTTCGTCTTATTCCTTCGGATTTAAGCAGGTTAAAGGGAGTTCATTTAGATACAATAACGATTTGCACATGCTGCAATGCTCACTGTGCGTGAGGGTCCATCGGTGTGACAGACTAATCCGGAAACAAATGCCATTACAGCTTTTCGTCTTTTCCATGACCCCTGGGTCAGGTGACTATGGTAGTGTCAGATCACTACCAGATTGAAATATTAGCTTGATGTACGTCAGAAACACTTTTGACGAAACACTGAGGTTGTGCAAGGCTACGAGATTTACATATTTAGTATACACTATTGGTTTCTTGGCTTTATTAGTATTCTTTAAGCTACTTTCGCTGGTATACACAATCTGACATGGAAACAGAAAATAGGGCGATTTCCAGACCCATCACACTTTATGAATGTCCAGTGGCACTTCTGATGAAGCAAAATGAAGCCAACGTGACGGAAAATGTTTGGCTTATTCCTTTTCTTCCATACCTAAATCAAACTCCGAATGTACGAAGTCCTCAAAAAAGCGGATGAACTGTTTCGATTAGAAAATTGTATCACAATAGTGGAGGTGAAACGCTTCCCACCAGTGATGCTTTGAGGATCACACACACTGAATGAACTTAAGTGGTCCAAACAGTTGATGATGAAACATGTGACCGTGAACATTTTTTAAGGACATGTAATCGGCAGAAAAAGTGACTCGTAGTTGTTGAGAAGATCTTGCGCTTCAAATGAGGTCTAGCCATTTACGTGAGGTTGATCTATGCAGAAAACCCGAGAGGTAGTGTTTAGAACACTTAGAAGCAGACCTTCGAAGAGCATCTGATGATAGTCGAATCTGACGTCTTCTCGTCAGTAGCTGAGCCATCCAACTACCGACCGCGAGTGACTGATCAGCACCACCTAGGAGAGGGGAGCGAGCTACCTATTACTGACACCGGGTCACTTCACATGACACGTCATTCTGAACAACCGTCTTTTGAAAAGCCACTGCTAATCCACCATCTGTGCAGGCACGGTGTCATGTTCTAATAATCAAGTCTCTGGAATTTCGTGACATCTGGGCTGCCGAAGAAGCAATTGTTGCACAGCATCTACTATCTGTTAAAAATGCACACGACTATGGGCTGCAGGTTTCTACAGGAATCGGAACATAAGTCTGATCAGGTATTACATTTAATTGCTTCACTACAAACCGTTTGCGACCTTGTCACGTCAGACGAACTGCACTTCAATATTGTGGAACCTGAAACACACCAAAGCGTGTCTTTCAAACCCTCCTATCGTTTTTTTGGGCCCAGTTTTCCGTGAGCCTTTCCATCCTTTAACCCGAACGCATTTTTTATTTGAAGTCATATGTTGTAAAGACACCCAAAAGATACGGTCCGAAGTGATACTGCGTCTGATTTGCTCATCATCCTAGCTGAGTTCGGGTGTGAATTTACCTTGACCAGCTCCGTCAAGGAAGCCGATCGATGGAGTTTGAATGTCCCTGAATTTTAAGCCTACGCATTTCCTTTCGTGGGCATGAGAGGCGTGACGAGCTATGGCACAGTGATCCGTGCTGGGACCATTCAGTGAAACATATGAATGGCATATTTTGGTGTGTTTCGGGACTTGCTATTTAAAATTGTACGTTGTCGGGCTTTTCAAGGTCGTAGAAGACCTACAGCGAGGCACTGATGGAAAGCGACTAACCAAATACAGATTCCTACACCTGTAGGAACCTACAACTCATTTTCATACGCACCCGGGTGTCGGACAGCCTATGTGGTTTATTCCGAAGGCCGGTGTAGATTAACTTCATTTGCTGGATAAAATCTTGATTGAAAAGGCCATTTGTAACACAGTGAATTGGGGACGCCTATTGGCCATGAAAAATCATCACCGTTACACTTCACGCTTGTGTAGATCTGCGGTATTTTGTGTCGCATGTAGATCTCCGCAAAGCATTCAGGTTAGTGCATTTCCCACAGCGTTTGCTTATTGCCATTCGATAGTCGGTAATACCGCAGTGGTGGCTGTATTATCGGTAATACGTTATCCATTTAGAAGAGACGTCACGGAACAGACATAAAGCGGCGAACGCTTCAGACAGGCCAACAACATACTTTTCACTTTCCCAAACGGTGTTTGTATCAAGTCATTCCAACCTGGGGCCTGACAGTGAAGGTAGATGTGCTCTTTGCTTCTGTGAGCAGCAATCATTCCACAACCATGCAGTTCTACGAACACCGGCGGCAGTATGACACAGAAGAGGGCTTTCAAATTAGAATGAATTGAGGAAACAACTGGCAGTGGGCTGTCGCACTTCGAAACCGAGTTGTTTTTCTTCGAACACTTGTGTAACGCAATTTCGGACTGAAAACTGGGAAAGACCCTGAGTTCATTCCGGACTGATTGTGCAACCTTTCGAAGATAAGTGGATATTTCGGAGTGGAAGAAGAGTTTCCACCGCCAGGCTGTGATTCAAACTTTTTACCTGCCAGACGGATTGAAACTCATATATTCCGGTTTGTAGGACATTTAAATAGCCGGCACATACGGAAAATGCATACTGAAAAATATTTTTTATTTTCGCTTGGTGGCTATGGCCACACCGTTTTCCGGTAGTAAACCAGACAGTTTTGCATTGTTTTATTAGTTTTGGGTCTTAGCCTGTGGCGATGCCACATGTGTGCCGGCAGTGTACATGTGAGTCACGTCATTCCTTCATCTGTTCGCCTTATGACAGGGTGCTATCCAAGACCTGTTTGTCGCACCGACAGCAGATATCGCGAGCAAACAGTGTGACGTTTATACAACCGATTGCTTGGAGGATCAAATGATGGGTGATGAAGTGAGTCATAATATTCGGTTCTCCAAATTTTCGACATTCTAGGCTCGACTAAGCTATCACGCTACTAGATTTTCAGTCTCCAAATAAAAAACTTTTAAAACATTTTTTTCGAGTTCACTTAACCGTTTCACACACAAGCAAAGTCAATTAGGGTCTTGTTATCAAACTGTCCACTCCACTTTTCGTCCTCGTTTTTTCTTGAGAATTCCTCCCATGGTGAATTAGATTCCAGTGGATGTCTGAACTATGCATGACCAACGTTCAGTAAAATCTGGGTTGAGTAATATTTTGTTCCATCAGCTGCTAATAAGACCCTTGTGCAAGTGAACTGATGAATCTACCACCGGCAAGATGCTGTAGTGGCCGCTTCCTAACTCCCCCCATCACGCTCACTGTGGTAGCACTTATGGGGAAATTTGATATCAAACAGAATGGATACAAACAGACTTGTTAAAGGACGCTAGTTATTAACGCTTACGTTGGTGGTATCAATGATGTCTGGCGAGATGGTTCAAGTGGTTAGAGCGCGAATTTACTGACTGGTCCGTGGTTCGAATCCGACCTCTGCTTCTCGACTTCCCCTGTCTAGGCTAGGGTAACCTGGCAGTATCCCAGCCCTCTTACTTCCTTCGGGTGGCATGGCGGCTAGCCACCGAAAGGGTGCTACAGGTAAACGATTCGATCAATGATGTCTAAGCAACAAATGCTGAGAATCAATTACCAACTCTACCCATGGTCTCGGAAGATCTGTTCTACGAACCACATTCTCATAAGTACTGTGGCACTTGTCATCCCCATATTCACCCAAAATCGACCTTGACAATATAAATTGCGTGCTCATATGTATTTCGATACAGAGCTTACACTGTTTGCCTGAATATATGCTTGTTCATATACTACACTTCGTATCGTCTGGGCGTACAATTTTCGCAAAAGGCAGTTATATTATCCTTGATATGACATGAGTCATCAAATATTACGTCAGTCGCGTTAGTATCTCGGATTTTGGCTCAACCAAACCCCTAGGCAGCAACAGATTTAATTGAAGAATAGCCGATCTGACTAAATTGTTTGAGTCTCACCCCTGCTGTTTCCGTCGTAGTAAAATTTGCGGTGCATCCGTATTTGACGGACATCTTTACGGGCTACAGAACCTTCTTTTCGAAAATTGGTGAGTTCCTTTACCCTAGCCAACATCTCATTGGACTGAAACCAATGTCCACAGGTTTCTCGGGCTGTCCCGCACTAATAAACTGCCTGTTTTTTTGCCGGAATAGTTCGCCAACCATAGGTATGGCGTGCCCTTATCCGGGTTTCACTTCACACAAGTCCTTGTGCGCGTAGCAGGTGGCCAGGTTGGAAATTGTGTAGCTTCTTCTCACCAGTACGATACTAGCCCTGTGATTCGGGGACTGATTCCTTATTGGCTGAAGTGGCTGCTTTTCTCCACAGACCTCAGAGTCAGAGTAGCGTCGAGACGGTCGAGCACCGAGTGGCAAGCAGAAGTGCCTCTGCTCACCAGGGCCAAGTTATAACAAACCTAAGAGGAAAACCTTGCATGTTTACTTCGCGCCAACACAAATAACGTATTTAGGCTCGGCTGGCGATTCGCCATGAGAGCCAGCCCTGGTGCAGCTACATAGACATCAAAGTGCATCAGCTTGATGCACAACTAGCGCTCACCTAGTGGTCATCGGTAAAACTTGCTGGTATATCACAACGTTTCACCGCAGCTTAAATATACTAGTGAATCAGACTGGATGGCGCTAAATAAGGAAAACAAAATTCGTGATTTAGCACTGCAATATATTCCGAGAAAGTCCTTCAACTTCGTGGCAAATTGTTCCGTGTTCCTTGTTGAGTTCATCAGGGTATTCTTAATTTTTATGGGGATTTTAACAAAATGATTGTAAAGAATTGAAAAAAAAGTTACTTGTGATCAAGCTGCCTTTTGTTGTAATATAAGGTAATAAAGCGTGAACTTATTTATTTTTATTATTTATTTATTTATTTATTCTATCTCATTCATGGTTTCATTCAACAACTCACCACTTTTTCGTAAATACTTCACTTCATCTAGTTTAGAAATTTTTGATGACACTTTCGCCTCTTTATTTTGAATAAAGTTAACAAACGTGAAATTTTGGCAAGTGAGAAGCAGAGATGCTATTCAAGTACCAGTGCAACCTGTGTGCTTTCAAGACAGGTCTGAATACAGCACGCTTGAGTAGAGCCGGAATCTCGTTTAACAGTACTGTTGGTAAAGGTGGTTTTGTTAAGAGTGGCTGTTATATTTGCATTTGCATCACTCTCATTTGCACATTTTCCCTCTTATTTGGACAAGGTTATTCTGGGCCTGGGAACAATATACTAGCCTCACTTTCAGTAGAGGCGTACTAATGTTGTGCACCGGTAGTAACGGGCTTCTGTCAAGAAGAGACTGGACCTAACCGTGGTATAATGGTTTGTGCACTTCAGCGATCCATTGAGCTATACTGGGGAGTGTCCCCGTGACATTCACAGAGTCTCTCATACCAGGTTGGTCAATGGTTAGAGGTCTGAAGAACACAGTCTCCTGGTCCTCCAGGTTGGGGGTTGGAACATGTGCCGACTTGTTCCGTAGAAATGGTAATGCATTTCCTGCCAAAGACCGCTACCCTATGGTTAGGTTTTTGAGCCAAAGGCTTTGGTTGAGGACCCTAATCGTCCTCCTGTCTAGGTGTGGGCGCCCTGGCAGGCTACTGTTGACGCCTCCTTTTTGTTTCACATACTTTTTCTCCCCCCTCCGCTCACCCCATTAATAGCTCTCTCCTGTAGGCCCGGGCACATAGGACTGATGACTCCGTTCGTCATGCATTGGTTTTGCGTGCAGCATCTGCTCGTCACATGGCGCCGACATTCTCAGGTATCCACGACAGTGAAGCATCGGTGTTGAAAACTGATGTCATGCTGTCGATGATGATGATGATGATAATGATGATGATGATGATGTTAACAGGCTTTCTTCACATGCCAGACATCCGGAGTTCAAATCTTACATACGATCAAGAAATTGTACCTCTAATGAGCTAAAAAAAACAGTAGAACTAGTGTCCTTGAATAACAATCACACAACATGAAAGTGTTTTATTGTTTAGCCACCATACCACCGCAAAGAAAGCATAAGAGGTGACATACTGCCACTTTACCCAGGCAGTCGGGAAGTGAAGGTTTGATTCAAACCGAGGTCTAATTACCAAGCTATCTTGAGCTCGTGTCTTCTCTTTGCAGTGTGGCAACCAGTAGAAGCGTTCCGGGACAAGAGAAGAACTGATCACTCAGGGGTGATGTGAACGCAAAATGTCTCTAAGAGTCCCATATATTCTGGCGTTTGGCTTCATGATATCATTCAAATAAACCGGAGTCTGGTAGATTTTCAAATGTGGAACACAATCACACTTGTAATTCACTTAATTAAAACTTGTTTCCCGATAAATATATCTGTATGAAGGCAATTCAGCAATCACCGGCCGCTCCAAGAACAAAATATGCGTTTCTCAGAGGATTCACATGAAGTCAAACTTTCCTGATTTTATTCAACTATTTGATGATCAGGCAGTTGAACACCAGATCCGGTGCAATAAAGTAAACGTTTTGTATCCCAGAGTAGAAAACGAACTCGATGTGGCGAATTCTGGCTGCTTTGCGCCTCACTTCTCTTTCTGATTTTACCAAACTTAAATACAACTGAAGCACCGAGTCACTCAGAGCACAGAATTTAACTTTAGGTTCTTCTAAACATCATTCATTGATTTTTAAGCTATTCCGTCACTTCTGCTGAAAATTTTCTCAGATAAAGTCGTGTTTGCTGCATCTTTGATTTACTTAGTTCCGGTCATTCACGATTTTTGTATGATATTTGCACGTGGGTACCGAATGGGAGTGCATCCTGGAAAACCCATATTTTTCCACTTTTTTCCTTCCAGGCGGCATCCCAAATCGAGGAGACACTTCGCGTAAGTTACGTAATATCCGTGAGATATTGTTACTAGAAGAAGCCTAATGGATGCCCATTAGTCGAGCAGTTGCGAGCACTGTCCAGTCTTATGCGGGCTGCACTCGGATTAGAAGTTGTGTCACCTGACATCTAGACCACCAGTTTCTTTTCTCGACAGAACTGTTGATCACAATGACATAGAGAAGTCTTTGGATATCGAAGGTTTTTGTAGTCTTCTGAAGTAGGAGATAGAGGAGGGTTTGATAGAAAAAGTGATAGTTTCCGAAGGTCTGTTTCCAATGTCTATTCGAGCCAAAATTTTTGAACCCAGTAGCATTTCCTAAAAACACTTATGTGTCAGACTTAGGCTAAAGGTAAAGGACTTAGAACCAGTCTACTTAAATTTAGGTGCAAATTTCTAATGTTGTTGATTTCCAGCATGTTCCAACTTCGAAAGCTTTTGTGAGAGCGCGGGTAACTTGTGAAGAGTGATTACCGAACAGAAGAACTGTACTGTAATTCCGTTTCCACCTTATCGCAACATCAACGCACGGCCTTGACAACAGCCGGAATGGACTCTGATCCCCTGAACTGTAATGCAGTTGTACCCATGGCAAATTTTCAAACGACGAAATTTGGGATAACCTTTCGGTTCGACCCTTGAAGGACTTCTTGAAAGACCAACGTAGCTATTCAAAATCAATGATTTGACAAAAATTCCCACCAGCTACAACTTTAGTTAGCATCAGGCAAGCCGTGATCAGGCTAACCTATCTCAACTTGTGGGTAATTGACAGCATTTCAGGCAAAACCATTGGGATAAAAATGCCAGCCTGAAGAGTAAAATGCTGGTTTTGATTCTGTTACAACGATGTCCAACTATAGAACATTTTTCAAAGTAATTCATTTCGAAACAAGGGACAAACAGCACCGTTTGCAGAAATGTTAACAGATGAGTTAAGAGATGTTAAGACGTGAGTTTGTTCCGTCTAGCTTGTTATAGAACTTACTCAGTTTAGTTGAACTACTTTCAATCTGTTCATACGTCAAACTTGAATAGATAATGTTGACAGATGCCAGAACACTTTTCTGGAACTTCTCTGAAAGAAGTTGATTGTAATGAAACCACAAATTGTTATGGACTCGCGGTTGGTTGTGTTACTTCAACGGATTCGACCATAAGCGAAATGCACTTCAACGAATTCGACCATAAGCGAAATGTTAGACAAAAACATTACTATATCGGACTACATCGGACGTTGTGGAGCACCAAGTAGAGTTGAAATATTGGGTGCTTATCCTCAGCGCGATGCGCATCTCGTTTGACTACTTGAAAGTTTAGCGATACCGTGACAGTGTACTCCATTGTCTACGAGGCTGTTTGTAAGCTCTCAACCAATGATGATACAGAAACCAGCCGATCAGTCCAACGAATACGGAAGTATATGACCTTAGGGAAACTAACGACTTGGTCTAGTTCTAGTTATTGAAGATTTACGACTGCAAAAGAACACCAAGTGAGGCGGACTGGCTTGAGAATGGCTGCACACACAAAGTGGTTTTGTACAGCTTGAAGGGAACAACACTCATTGGCGTAAACTAGCGGACTGATTTCTAGGATTATGCAGTCGTTTGGTAAAATTTTGAACCCAGTTTTGAAGAATGCACTAAAAGGGTGTATTTAGGTTCTTTGGAGCCTCTAGATTATGGGTACTACTATCAGCCACTAAGGTAGACCTGTTCCTGACGCTTGCGGCCTTCTCTTTATCAGTTTGCCAGTATTCCGGTGGCTGCTGCAAGTTGGTGCTTCTCAACAGCGGGTCATAGTTTGTTGACAAATGAATAAAGATGTTTTTGTTGTGTATCTTGTGCCGTTTTCTTCTATCGTGGCCTCTTAAGTAGCTAATGGTCCACTGTTTTTGGTTGTTTGGCATAAGAGTTTAGTCAATATAATCTATTTCGCAGCTTCTATGACTCTTAATCCAACTTACATATCCGGAGTCATTAAAAGTGGCCAGAAGTCCAGTGCCTTACACACAGTATAACGACGACCAATGTAAGGGCACCTCCTGTTCACTAGTAAGCCTCTCATTATAAATATCGGAGCACTTTAGGGGAAACTCTGTGATGGCCATTGCTAATCAGCGTGTAGAAAAAGCTGGACTGCTTCTAGGCCACATGGGTGTTCCGCACTGAATTGTCCTGTCAACAAAATTAATTAAATTGGGATAATTTCACTCTCCTGCACACATAATTCTAACATGCCACAGCCGATTTCCCCGTTTTAATTATTCCAACGAGTATTTAAAATATCCAACGGTCGAACAGAAGAATAAAATCTGAGACTTTCAAAGGACATACATTTCCTAAGAAGCGTGAACTTACCAGACCTAACTTACGTTTCACTTCAGGGACCAATGGGAGCGACTGGAGCCATGGGACCCCCTGGTGATAAAGGTGAAATGGTAAGTAACTTTCGTTTGTAAACGCGCTCTGCCCTCATCATTTATGCCTAACTGTGCAAAGCATTTGCACTGCAATCCAGCTGTAGGAATTTCACAAGGACACGAAAATTGGTTTACTGAGACGGGAGTTCGTTGTAGTAGGGGTTGATTCCTAGTTGAAACCTGTTTTGACAAGAAAACTAAAGGAATGCACTCTGAGAGATGACGTGGGGAAAAACAGAGTTTACTCTGCATGACTGGCAGTTCAGCTGGAGTGTAACCAAGGTTTAAAGCAGTTAGGCCGAAATCCGTATCTTTAACAGACCGCTTGTGAGAAAATCAAAAAGTGTGAAAGTGGTGGATGGAAAAATGTCGATCCATTGGTAGGTTCCCTGATTTGTCCTTGACTGAGCAGCGCCCACAAAGCTACCATACCGAGATATTGTTGACGAAACCAAAGAAATGGAGAATCATTTGCCTCCAACTCCCAAGATGCTGAGACCACAAATGTTCATTTATTCAAGCTACGAATAAGAAAAAAAATCAAAGTTTTAATGTGTTGACATTGATTTGTTGTGCCTTTATGTCGAATGGTGTTATGCTAGTGAAGCTGGGAACAAAAGTTATGGGCACAGCATATCTCATTTTTAGGCAATGGTCGACACCAAGATTCAAAATCGACTCACCATAATGTTATAACTTCGCTCTTTTCGATTTCAATTTTGGCCTTGTACTACCCAAGACCACGTTTATGTCGAGCTAGTACATATACCGTATAAACCTATGTTGAACAATGTGTAGATAGTTAATCAGACGTATCCGGCATCTAAAAAGCTTGTGTTTGCCTTCTCCCTACCAAAGGGCCATAATGGCTCAGTGGGTCTTGCTGGAGAACCCGGTCAACCTGGTCCAGCCGGATCGCTCTTTGTTATCCCACTGAACTTGGGAGTCGGAGATGCCAATTACGCGCGTGCGGCAGTGTTTCGGGATTTGCTTCAGAAACATCTGGTAAGCTTTTGACAAGCAAGATATCTGAGCACAAACTTGGCTGCCAAAGTTTACTCTAGCAGTGTTATTATACCAGAGGTGTGCTTATGGATCAGGTCAAGGCAGTTTGCACACTGTCTCTACCAATCAGTCGATCTGTGACTTATTTTCTATTCCTTTTGCTTTAAACGAAGCTTTCACTCAAAGGTGTACGAGGTGCTCGAGGGATGACTGGAAGCCCTGGACCTGATGGAATGCAAGGAGAACGAGGGATCAAGGGCGAACCTGGAGCTCCCGGTGAGACTGGATTTCAGGGACCTCGTGGTCCTCTCGGTATGCCTGGTCGACCAGGTCCTGCAGTAAGTTAGTTTAGAGATGTCTATTTCGATATGCCACAACCACGCCTGCAAGGCAAACCTAACTAGAGCGTAGAGATATCATTACCCCGTAGCAATTACTGGCATTAAACAACCTTCCGGGCAGGTACTTTTCGGGTGGGAGGTGAATGAAGCTATTTGTACAATAAATGGGATATGGCTGGGTGAATTATTATTATTTACTAATATTACATTATTATTATATTTCTTATATTATTATTTATTATTATTATCACCATTATTATTTGCTGTATTATATACATTTTAATGCTCCTACTAGTATACTGATATTATATTGCTGTTATA